GGAGGGGTGTGGAGGAGGGGTGTGGAGGAGAGGTGAGGAGGAGGGGTGAGGAGGAGGAGGGGTGAGGAAGAGGAGGAGGGGTGTGGAGGAGGGGTGTGGAGGAGAGGTGAGGAGGAGGGGTGTGGAGGAGGAGGAGGGGTGAGGAAGAGGAGGAGGGGTGAGGAAGAGGAGGAGGGGTGAGGAGGAGGAGGTGTGGTGTGGAGGAGGAAGGGTGTGGAGGAAGAGGAGGGGTGTAGAGGAGAAGGGGTATGGAGGAGGAGGAGGGGTGAGGAGGAGGAAGGGTGAGGAGAAGGGGTGTGGAGGAGGCTTGGAGGGTTGGAGAAGGTGGTTTGGGACGGTTGAGGGAAAGCAGAGGATGGTGGAGGGGGAGGATGATAGGAGACAGGCATAGCCCGGGTGGTAGAATATGGAGAAAAGCCTTACTGGAGCCAGAGAGGATTTTGAAGGGAGGGAGTGGCCGAAGGGCTTCAGGAATGCAGCTGACATCAGAGGGCCTTGGACAGAGGCAGGAGAGTAGGGAATCCTGGAGGGCTCCCTGTGGCTGCAGGCGGAAGGGAGCTGAGCAGGAGAGCTCCTCCAGGAGAGGCAGGACACAGGGCTGCGGCATGAGGGTTAGCTGGTGGGGAAAGGGGTGTTTTCTGTTCTGAGGAAGGAGACTGGGCATCTTCACAGGCTGATGGAGAGGCGCCATCAGAGAGGGCTAAGTAGAAGGCCCCAGAACATCAGCAAGTCCTTGGGGAAGGTCAGATTGATGTGGAAATGGGACCTCGTAAGGCAGAGGGACGCTGGGGAAGGCATGACGGGTTATGGGACAGAATGGGGAGCAGGTGGGACATGGAGGGAGCTGGCCCAGGTGGCCTGGCTAGGAGGCAAGAAGCCCTCATGTGGTCTGATGGAGTCTTGAGGAGAGAAGGGCGTGGGTGCCCCATGCAGCAGGAGAGGGCTGCGTCAGCACAGCCTGGAAGTGCTGGTTCTTCCCACAAGGCTCCCAGCAACAGAAAGCTCAGCCTGAGTGATGTGGTGGCAGGTCTTGAGGAGGAAGAGTGGTGTGGTGGCAGGAGAAGGGGCCTGTGGGTGTCACGTAGGCCACGAGCCAGGTGGGCCTGGGCAGAAGCAAGGAAAGCTAGGAGAGGATGGGCAGGCTGAGAAGAGTGGACAGGGAAGACTTCTCAGTGGGGTCAAAGAACAGCGTGTGTGCGGACCAGAGTGGAAATGGGGTCTCAGGAAGTTACAATCAGAGACAGGATTTCCAAGTAAGATTTCAGGAGACAGCCACCTTTATGACAAGCGCTGGATGTGGCTGTTCGCGTTGAACCCTGCGGGGATGGGGGTCTGGGGAAGGGACAGGGCTAGAGGCCAACCCAGGACGGAGCATCTGGTGGAGGAAGGGCGGTGGGCAGACGTGTGGAGGGGTGCTGGCTGCGGGGGCAGGAGACTGAGCTGCCTCCAGCTAAGGGAACTGAGTGCCCCTCCATGTATAACAGGAAGGCCTGACCCACGGCTGGTGCAGGGCCTGCCTTGCCCAGGCCCCAAATCCCAGCTGCAGGCTGAGCTGTGCAGGAGGCGGTGAGAGCAAGGCTCCCCATCAACCCCTCACCCAAGTGAAGAAAAACACCACCAAATGCAGAGACAACCTCATTGTGCTGCTTTTAATTACGAACGATGTAAAATGATGCATTATAAAACTTGGAAGCAACTTTATACAAATTCCAATCTTTAAATATGGTTGAACAGGGTGCCCTGGGGGTCAGGACACTGGCAGGAAGTCTGATTAGTTGCTGGGATGGTCCCATCCACGAAGCACTGGACACATGCTGGGAACCATCTGTGCATAAATCAGAAGAGCCAACAAGAGTGGGAACGGAAAGGTCTGCAAATACGCATATGGACTTGAAGATACAACACCAGCTCAGGTAATATACAGCAGGCGGAGAAGAAATGAAACAGGAGAAACAGGACAAAGGAGAATTCATGACATGATCAAGAAACCCTTCTAACACTCTATGTCCTAAAACCCACAACCATACAGAAAGAAAAAATGGAAATGCAGACAGGTTTTTAGTTCTATGCTGTTTAACTGCTATAAGTGAGAGTAGTACAATGATCGATTTCTTGTGACAAAACTAAATATTGAAAAATAGTTTACTCTGAAGTATGCAGCTGCTTCAAATGCTGAGGACCACAACTGGTTTTGTTACAAAGGCCACAGTGAGTGCAGGCTCACGTGCTGCGGGCCAGGGCGACCCTGCCCGTGGTGAGTCCTCCACACCTTCTAGGCAGAGTGGGTTGTACAATGCCCAAAACCTTTCACAAAGAAAGACTGCACTCATAGACCTAAGGACAAATTGAATTCAGTGCTAAACCATATTGCCCCTAGTATACGCCCCCAAATAAATCCCTTCCCTTGGAGGCCTGTTTTCACAAGTCACCTGGAGAACCCCTGTGGGGCAGTGGGGTTCACTGTGTAGGTCTTGGGGTCTCCTGTTGCCAGGCAGGGTGGCTGCTGTGCAGACAAACTGAACTGGGACCCTGATATGATGATACCCACGGGTAAGGCACTATGTGAAAAGTGGACTATGCTGAGAACTGTTTTATAAAAACACAACTCTTATAATATCAGCACCATCCCCTGTTGGGAGTGAGATCAGGTTTGGGAGCCCTTTGACACAGGAGCTGGCTTTTTTTGGCACACTGGGGAGCTGGGTAGCATTGCGACTAAAGGCTCTTTAACAGAAAGTCTCCCCTCTGAGGTCTTGAGCACAAAGGGATTTGAAAGTGTAACTGGGAACAGGGCTGGCAAGGGCAGGCCAGCAGGCCTTCCTGAGCTGGAAATCAGGCGAGGAGAACTCTGGTTTGATTTCCCAATTCCACGGCAAAGATTTGGGGCAAATGTGAAACAGATTCCACAGGAAGGTGGAGGGGCACCCCATGAGGGTTATTTTAAAGATTAGAGGCAAGGTCAGAAGATAGAAATGGAATGAGGTCTGGAGAGGCTAACCAGCTCAGGGTCTTGTGACGATGACTCCTTTTACATAAGGGACAGGTGTGCCAGATTCAGACCCTCATTGTACAGCCTTGCTCCTCTGGGTGGAGCAGTCCAGCGACCCTCAATACACTCTAGGGTCTCCTGGAAGGGCAATGGCTGTCCAAGCAAAAATCCTGGCATCTTTCGTCTCTCCTTCAGGGTTCTCCTCCTCTCTAGCCTGTCCTCTCACAGCCTAGATCCCTCCCCTGCAGTGCTCTGCCCCCTTCAAACCTACTGGCTTCACCTAAGTTAGAGGAGGCAGGCGGTGGTTGAAATCTGGTCCATCTATTTTATGAGAGGGTATTAATGACTAATGATGGTTCCATGAATTAGGCCTTCGTTTTACTATAAACTATTTTTTCAACCTCAAAGAATGAATCTCTACTTGAAGCAATTTAGAGCCAAACATGGATCTGAGAGGGAAGATCTTCCTGGGTGGGGCCCAGACAGGGTCCCTCAGGGCCCTCACCTGCTCAGCCCTTTCGGATGTACTCAGAAGACAGCTCCCACCCACCTGCATGGAGCACAGCCCAAGGAGAATGCAGTGCCCGGCTTCACTGTGATTTGGTCACCTAGTGTTAAAAGCATATTAAAGTGCATGCTTCACCATAGGCACGAGTGCTAGAAAAGCTAAAGCTCTGAGAAGGTTTGGCAGGGAAGGGGGATAGCTACAGATGAGCCTGCCTTACAGCATGGCGGACGCAGTCATTCATCATGCACTGCACACGCTGTTCTGCAGCACTCCGCCAGCACACGAGTGTGCTGCCACGCACGTGTTAGGTGCTATGGGTTCAACAATGAATAAGGCACTGTCCCTGCCCTCAAGGAGCTTACGGTCTGGGGGGGGTGACATTAAACTCCCAGCCCACAGAGCCACAGCTCCTCCAGCTGCTTTTAGTGGGGAGGTCTGTGCTTGTCCGGAGTTTGTCGGGAGGCCACTGAGTGTGAGATAGCTGCAGTCCCTGTCTTCCTTCCCCACCCCCCAAGAAGGAGCATAGTTCTCTTCAGGCTCATCAGTGCCAGGGGACTCTTTTCAGTGACTGATAAAATGGTCTTCCTCTTCCTCTGGTCCATAAGGAAAAGGTTTACTTTTCTGAAGCAGCAGAAACCAACTGGGAGAAAATGAAAATTAGCCTTCAGTCTGCCTAACTCAAGCCTGCTCTCGGACTTGTGGCAAAAACTTCTTCATGTCGTAAATCAGGCATGGGAGAGAGCTGTGGGGTCCGCTCAGCCTGGGAATGTCCCCTGCTGGAGGGCCTCGCCCTCCGGGTCAGGTCAGAGCAGGCATCGAGGTGCCCTCTCCGGGGCCACCGCTCCAGGTGGAGCCTCCCACTCCGGACCCGCCTTCGGTGCAGCCGGAGATCAGTGGTTCTGAGCACTACACAATGCCACGGAGGCCTCCAGTGACACGATATTTCCTACTCTTACACATGGATGGACTGGAAGGCCAAGAAAAAGATGCAATGGAGATGAGCTTTCCAGTTCATGGGAAGCTCCAAGCAGCCTGCCTGCTGCAACACAACTTTGGCCACAGGCTGGAGAGGCAGTACATAGCTGTGTGATCTGGAGGAAGCCACAGTGTCTGAGATGGGACCTCGTCTGAAAGCCTGGAGCCGTGGCATTGGTTCCTTCTATGTCAAGATAACGAAAGCCGGCAGTCAGCTGGCTCCATTCTATTCCATTCTATTTTGGCTGTTGCAGAAAAACATTCTTCTGTTCCACTGCCTTCTGTTCACAGTCTGTCAGCTCGAAACGTCTCTTCAACAGAGGGGTCCAGCAGGCCCATGCTGGAGTCACTTAACATGTTGAGTCCGTCCAGGCTCAGGGGTTCAATCTGCAGCTCCTCTTCCAGTGGAAATGGAGTGTCCACGTTCAGGCTGACCTCGGGCAGGCCTGCCAGCGCACTGTTGAGGTCTTTGAACAGGCTGGTGCTGGAGTCTTCTGAAAGGGGTGGCCAGAGAGGAAAACAGTACGCTTAGGAGGCATGAAGGCTCCAGGCTACTAAGCAAACCCAGCTGATGACGGTCCCCTAAACTGCCATCCCATACGTCCTGACCACCCCTAGGCCCACAGTTCTTGCCCTGGAGTCTACATTCTTGTCAGTCAGTTGCACAACTCCCAATTTTTGCAGGTTTTTTTTCCTTTTGAACAGTCATCAGTCACCTAAGATGAAATTTTTCTTTTTTTTTGAAACAGAGTCTAGCTCTGTCACCCAGGCTGGAGTACAGTGGCACTATCTCGGCTCACTGCAAGCTCCAACTCCCGGGCTCACGCCATTCTCCTGCCTCAGCCTCCCGAGTAGCTGGGACTACAGGTGCCCGCCACCACACCGGCTAATTTTTTTTTTGTATTTTTTAGTAGAAACGGGGTTTCACTGTGTTAGCCAGGATGGTGTTGATCTCCTGACCTCATGATCCGCCCGCCTCGGCCTCCCAAAGTGCTGGGATTACAGGTGTGAGCCACCGTGCCCAGCCAGACGAAATCTTTCAGAAAAGGCTTTGACTACCAGGCCCACCGCCCTGCGTCACGGTCTCTGAGGCTGGACACCTGCATCTCAAAGAGTCAAGCTGACCCAGGCAACGTTCGCTTTTTGCTTTATATAATATTATGTTGTTTAAACTATCTTATGAAGGTACCTAAACACACAACAAAATAAAAGCAGTAAAGAAGCTGAGGGGTGGCTCACTCACCTGTCAGGATGGTGTTTGGGAAACTCCCGCAGTTGGAATATGGGCTTGGTCTCAAATGAAAAGAGTCCTGCAGTTCTCGGGAACCTTGTTGCACTAGAGGCACCTGGAAGCATCAAAGGTCACGTGAGGAAGGCCACACCTCTGCTTCCAAGGAGGAGGCGAGTATTGCAATGTGCTCCCAGGGCTAAACTTGATTTGCAAACTAATACATATTCCCTTCTTTCCAGGATCCCAAAGTGCTTTGCTCTTGTGGTGATGTATGTACGATATTCTTGTCAGGCAGGCAGATGCTGGGGTGGAGGAGGGGCCCCTGAGGCCCACAGCGCGGTGACTTTTCCCCAGCCCACTACACCATCCCAAGAGATACCAGTGGTCATGGTTTCTGTGGCCCCTCAGACATGTCTCCTCAGCCTCACCAAGGCCTTTGTAAACTGCCTTCTATGGGAACCCTTCAAAGGCTCTGTCTATAACCAAGAAAGTATGGACTCTTTTCTTCCTTGGTTTCTTTCTTCCTCTTTTTTCTTTAGAAATAGGGTCTCTGTTGCCCAGGCTGGAGTGCAGTGGTGCCATCTCGGCTCACTGAAACCTCCACCTCCCAGGCTCAAGCGATCCATCCACCTCAGCCTCCCAAATAGCTGGGACCACACGCCACCATGCCTGGCTAATTTTTGTATTTTTTGTAGAGACAGGGTCTTGCTGTATTTTACCCAGGCTGGTCTCAAACTCCTGAGTTTAAGCAAGCCACCTGCCTCGGCCTCCCAAAGTGCTGGGATTATGGGTGTGAGCCACTGCGCCTGACCTATTCCCTGGTTTCTAGAAAACTGAGAAAGTGGAAGCCTTTCCTTTTTGCACTCAGAAGGAGGAAACTCAGGCAAGCTTCTCCCTATGAGAAAGCCTCTATGAGGACTGGTTATAACTGTGGCCAATTTTAGGTTCCTTTCCTGAAATTAATTTTCTAAGTCATTTAAAAAAATGTCTCAAAAGAAGAAGTTTCCATCATTTTTCAGGGAGACACTGATTCCCATCTAGACTAAAATGGCTCTTTAGAAAATAGGGAGGCAAGGAGGATTGGTTCTTGCCACAAAGCTTCATCTGTGGCCTACTTAGGAAACAGCTATCTTAATTTATTTTATTATTATTAAGTTCTTGGCCGGGCACAGTGGCTCACACCTGTAATCCCAGCACTTTGGGAGGCCAAGGCGGGTGGATCACTTGAGGTCAGGAGTTCAAGACCAGCCTGGTCAACATTGTGAAACCTGTCTCTACTAAAAATACAAAAATTAGCTGGGCGTAGGGGTGCACGCCTGTAACCCCAATTACTCAGGAGTCTGAGACATGAGAATCGCTTGAACCCAGGAGGTGGAGGTTGCAGTGAGCCGAGATCATGCCACTGCACTCCAGCCTGGGCGATAAAAAAAAAAAAAAAAAAAAAAAGTTCTGGAAACTGTTCAACCCTTCTTCCACTCCTTAATCCATCGGAGGGTCCAGTCCATACTTACTGAATACTATTGAATACCATAAAATCTAGGAATATTAAAAATAGTCAAGTTAGGGAGAAACTAAACTGTAAAAGCAAGTGGCCCAGTTGAAAATACCTTACAGAAGAAGCTCCCCTACTGCCCAGGACTGAGCTCTCCCCAGGAGGCCGCACGCTGTGCTAGGTGCGACCAGCCTGGGTGCAGGCAAAATGTGGCGCCACCTTCTGACCCTGCGGAGGGAGCAGGTGCCGCCCTCCCTATGCCTCAGTTTCAACATGAGGGCACCGAGGAGGCGGGTGCTGTGTCCCTTCCAGTGTTCATGATTTTACAGTTCTACAACGAGAGTGTCATCAAAAGTCTCCTGCCAATTATTCCAATAGTTCCTCTGCTGAAGCCTGATACTAAATAACACAGCCAAAGCCAGCGTTTTAGGGCCAAAGAAGATGAAAGGCCCTTCTAGCCACAGAACACATCCAGAACCAGGGAAGTGGCATGTCTGGTCTGCTTGGTTCTGAGTTCTACACAATGAACAACCTAAATGGTACAGTTTACGCACCAAGGGAGGGGATGGCAGGGGTGATCCACCCACCTGTTGAGGAAAGGCAGGGCCTGGCCTCATGGACTGCTGGTCAAAACCCACATCTGGGAAGAAGTTGGTCAAAGATGAGCCCTTCAGAGAGTAAGGAGGTGACCATTTAGCTTGGAACTCAGAGCAAAACAAGCATTCCCTCCGCACCAACGCTGCTGCCAGGACTCACCTGGGCTGGGAGAAGCTGAAAGTCTGACTGTGGCAGTGAAGAGGCTGCCTGGGGCTGCTGGGCAGGGGCCTCAGGGGTGCGGGGCTGCTGCAGGAGGGGCTGGGTGAGCTCCTGGGGCGCAGGGTAAGGGGGTGGCGGGGACACCTGGGCTTGAGCTTCTGTGGGCAGGAAGGAAAGTTGGCTTCGGTCTGAGGACACCATCTGCAAAACAAACACACAAAGCCACTAACAAGCTTCTGCGTTTCTAGTGTTAAGTCCTTTAGGATTAGGAAATGTCAGAGTGAGAGGAAGCCTGAGATTTTCCTCACCGCGGTGTCCTGTGCAATGTTGTGAGAAGCCCGTTTCTCTTTCTTTAAAGTATATCTCAAATTTTACTTCCCTACAAAGCATGTTCCATTCAATGACAAGTTCTATTGTCTTAAAAGAACTAAACAAGAAAACAGTCAATTTAACCAATTTCCTTTCAGTTTTCTCTGTGAAAATCATGTTTTGTTTTGTTTTTTTATAGCCATGTCTTCTGGTTAAAAGTGGAAGATTGAAAAAGGCCCTTAGCTCTGCCATGTCACCAAACCCTGTTAAGACACTACAACAATATTAACCAGCAATAAGCATTAATAAATAACACTAAACAGTAACACAGAACACTAAATGATAACAAACAACATGAGGACAAAGATAACGGCAGAGAAGAAAATGGCAACAAAAGCTAGAAAATGAGAAGCAGATGGCCAAATGGTAACTGGCTTAGCAGAACTGAGAAAACCCAATGCTAAGCTGGCAGTGAGGAAAAACCAGGAGGCAATCTCATTTACAGCACTAAATCCCCACAGGGCTCTGGGATTGGGGACAGCAGGGAGCAGGGGCTGAAGCTAAAACCAGGAGGTTCTGGTCAAAGTTTGTGTAAGGGGCAGTCGGACCTGCAGAGCCCTTGCCTTGAGTGTGCTTCTGCACACTGGCCCCCACCACCCTGCCGCCTGCCAGGAGACTGGAAGGCTCCACTCCTGAGAGAATAAAACTAAGGGACTCTGGATATTAGAAGGTGAGGCACTTTACTGAAAACACAGGGTTTAGAAGCAATTTCATGATCAGATCTTAAGATCTCCACCTTTCTTTCCCAACCTGGCTCTCAGGATGCTGGAATCCAGATATGCCGAGGTGGGACGCTGGAAGAGTGTCCTTTAGGGAACCTGACAAGGACTGAGAGAGAAAATCTTTTTTTTTTTTTTTTTTGGAGACAGAGTCTTGCTCGGTCACCCAAGCTGGAGTACAGTGGCATGATCTTGGCTTACTGCAACCTCCACCTCCTGGGTTCAAGCAATTCTCCTGCCTCAGTCTCCCGAGTAGCTGAAATTACAGGAGCATGCTAACACGCTTGGCTAATTTTTGTATTTTTAGTAGAGACGGGGTTTCACCATGTTGGCCAGGCTGGTCTAGAACTCCTAACCTCAGGTGATACTCCCGTCTTGGCCTCCCAAAGTGCTGAGATTACAGGTGTGAACCACCGCGCCTGGCCAGAGAAGATCATAAAACTTATGACACCAGAAATTTCCCAAGGAAATGACCAAGCTAGATCATTCTACAATGAAGACCACAGTCAGCAGGCCTCCCACATACACAGAGCTGCCAGCCAGCTTCTCAGTGTCCTGTTTTCTTTCTTTTTTTTTTCTCATTTACATATTTTTATTTGGAAATGTTTATATTAGTACAAGGAAACAATTTTGGAGACACTGGATGTCATTAGTTATCACTAGTTTATTATAAAAGAGAAATATGGAAATTATTTACATGATGAAAGATTTCAGAACTTCAGTGGAATGGGCAGCTTCACATTGATGCCATTTCAATAGTGACTTATTTCAGTCTATGTACTTTCCAAGAATGTCACCGTCTCTGAATAGGAAATAATCCTTGTCATCTAGAACTATTTTGGTGCCTCCATATTCTAGGAGAAGAACTTTATCTCCAACTTTCATGCTAACTGGCTGAATCTCTCCACCCTTTCCTTTAGATAGCCCGATCCAACAGCGACAATTGTTGCTTGCAATACTTTTCCTTGTGATTTTTCTGGAAGCATAATGCCTCCTTTGGTTACAGTTTCAGCAGCACTCCTTCCAACCAATACTCGGTCAAAGAGTGGAAGAAACTTTCTAAACGCTTGTCCCGCCATGACTCCCTTCGCCTCAGACTCGTACTCTGCTCTAGCGTAGCGCTGCAAGGAGAGAGCCCCTCAGTGTCCTGTTCTTAAACGTGAGCAGAGCACCAAAGATCACCAGGCCCCGAGGAAACTATCTGCCATGAAAGTCAGAAGCCAAAGCAGACACACACAATCTTGGAAAGATGTGTGCAGGAAGAAGTAGTTGTGAAAAAACAAAATCAGCATGACAATATTTAGGCTACTACGAAAATCCTTATCTATTAGAGACACATATTGAAATATTTGCAATTTTTAAAAGCAGGGTATGGATGAAACAAGATAACAAAGCTGGCATGGTGGCTCACGCCTGTAATCTCAGACTTTGGGAGGCTGAGGCGAGTGGATAACCTGAGGTCAGGAGTTCGAGACCAGCCTGGCCAACGTGGTGAAACCCCGTCTCTACAAAAATTAGCCAGGTGTGGTGGCGTGGACCTGTAGTCCCAGTTATTTGGAAGGCTGAGGCCAGGAGAATGGTTTGAACCTGGATGGCGGAGGTTACAGTGAGCCAAGATCACACCACTGTACTCTAGCCTGGGCAACAGAGCAAGACTCCATCTCAAAAAAAAAAAAAAAAAAATGTTAATTGTTGAGGCTCGATGATGGCTATAGGAGGATTTATTGTATTATGTTCTCTACTTTTCATGCAATTAAAAAATTTTATTATAAAAATAAAGATAAATTAGAAAAAAATGACCACTAAAAACCTTAGAGAGAAAAATATGATACTGCATCTGTGGAATATGTATGATGCTGTTAAAAAGGAACACTGAGAGAACAAAAAAGAACTCATAGCAATTTAAAAATTGAGAGCAGAAATGAAAACCTCAACAGAAGGGTTGGAAGATAAAGCTGAGACACTCTTTCAGAAAGCAAAGCAAAACAAACAAGGAAGCAACTACAGAGAAGGAAAAGAGGAGAGAGAGAAAATAAGGATATTAGAGGAAAAGTCCAGGATAGTCAACATTCATAGAGTTCCAGAGAGAGAACAGAGAAAACTGAAGGGAAGAAATCACTGAAGAAACTTTATTTCAATGTTCTTTAACATTTCCCAGAAATGAAGGCTGTGAGTTTCCAGATTGAAGGAACCCACCAAATATGCAGACTCACGCCAAGCCACATTATCTTGAAGTTTCAGAACATTGGGGACAAAAAGATCTTACTAGCCTGGGGCGGAGGGGGGGATTCCATGCAAAGTGTTAAGAGTCAGAATGGCACTGGATTTCTCAATAGCAACTTAGAAATGAAAAGGCAATCGATTCCAAGGGAAAATTATTTCAAATTTAGAATTCTATATTCAGCCAAATAATAATTAAATGGTAGATCAAATAAAGACATAATAAAGTCATACAAAGTCACAGGCACTCTTTCCTATAGAGCTACTAGAGAATTTATTTTTGAATGTACTGAGATCTGCCCAACTCCGAGAGTTGGGGACTGAATTAGTAATACACAGAAATACATGCAGATAACTAGGCTCACAAAAAAGTCAGACATTTATTAACTCCCAGGGGGAAAAAATTCTCATTTTCTTATTTCATGGTATACTATATGTCAACTCTAACTACATTGTAACTATAACAACACTAAATATTGAGTATTGCTCTAACCAAAATTATAATAAATGAGGAGGGTGGGTAGGAAATTGTGTGTGTGTGTGTGTGTGTGCTCATGTGTGCACATACGTGTGTGGTGGGGTTTGTGGGAGAGTGGAAAGAGAACTAAATTCTAACCTTCATTGGTAGGATGTCATTAGATAATTCCTAACACCAAAAATGTAGAACAAAAAATGCATAAAACAACATGGTTAGGCCGGGTTTAAGGTGGCTCATGCCTGTAATCTCAGCATTTTGGGAGGCCGAGGCGGGTAGACTGCCTGAGGTCAGGAGTTCGAAACCAGTCTTGCTAACATGGTGAAAAATACATCTCTACTAAAAATACAAAAATTAGCCAGGCGTGGTGGCACACACCTGTAGTCCCAGCTACTTGGGAAGCTGAGGCAGGAGAATCGCTTGAACCTGGGAGGTGGAGGTTTCAGTGAGCTGAGATCGCACCACTGCACCCCAGTCTGGGTGACAGAGCAAGACTCTGTCTCAAAAAAAAAATAATAATAATAATAATAACAACATGGTTATACCAAAGAGATTAACTAAAATGGTTGACGGTAGCCATCTCTAGGCAGTGAGAAATATGCCTAATGATGGGGAAAGACCACTGTTTTTCTGTAACAAGTCCTTTAGAACTATTTGACGTTTTAAACTACATGCATGAGTAACATTCACTTTTCAAAATTTCCTTTTTTTAAGAGATAGGGTGTCACTATGTTGCCAAGGCTGGTCTTGAACTCTGGGCCTCAAGCAATCCTCCAGTCTCTGCTTCCTGAGTAGCTGGGATTACAGTCAGAACCACTGTGTCCAGCAACATTCATTAAAAAAAAATCTAAATATTAAACAAATTAAAAACACATCTGAAAGGGGACACTCTGGCCAGACAGTCTCCTTAAAACGTAGCTAAAAAGCAAGAATGCTTTTAGATCTTATAGAAGAATCTTGCAAAATAAAATTAAAGGCAATTCCATAAGAACCATGAAAACAATAATTATGGACTAGCCTGGGCAATATGGTGAAACTCCATCTCTACAAAAAAAAAAAAAAAAAAAAACAACAAAAATTAGTTGGGTGTGATGGTGTACACCTGTAGTCCTAGGTACCTGGGAGGTTAAGGTGGGAGGATCACCTGAACTCAGGGAGTTCAAGGCTACAGTGAGCTGTGATTGTGCCACTGCACTTGAGCCTGGCTGAGAGTGAAACGCTGTCTCTAAAAAAAATAAAAATAAAAATTATGGCAGGGCACAGTGGCTCATGCCTGACACAAGGCACACTGGCTAATTCCAGCTCTTTGGGAGGCTGAGGTGGGAGGATCACTTGAGCCCAGGAGTTTAAGACCAGCCTGGAAAACATAGGGAGACTCTGTTTCTTTCTTTTCTAATTTTAACTGAGACAGAGTAACTCTGTCACCCAGGCTGGAGTGCAGTGGTGCAATCCTGGCTCACTGCAAACTTCCGTCTCCAGGGTGCAAGCAATTCTCATGTCTCAGCATCCCGAGTAGGTGGGATTACAGGCGTGAGCCACCATGCCCGGTAATTTTTGTATTTTTAGTAGAGATGGGGTTTCGTCATGTTGACCAGGCTGGTCTCAAACTCCTGTCCTCAAGTGATCTGCCTGCCTTGGACTCCCACAGTGCTAGGATTACAGGTGTGAGGCACACACCCAGCCCAGGGAGACCCTGTTTCTACAAAAAAATTTTTTAAATTAGCTGGGTGTGGTGACATGGGCCTGTAGTCACAGTTACTTGAAGAATCCCAGCTGAGGCAGGAGGATCGCTTGGGCCCAGGAATTCAAGGCTGCAGGGAGCCATGATCGTGCAACTGTGCTCCAGCTTGGGCGATACAGTGAAACTTAAAAACAAAAATTATGAAATGTCCTTTCACCCTTGCCCAAAAGAGATTACTCATACAATCAAGATGCCACAGCTAGTAATTGGTAAAAAGTGACTAATAACAAGATCCTCTAACTCTCTGTTGTGTTCTGTCAACTCTTCCTTCTAAATCATTATTAATTTATGGCGAGGAATGATGCTGTAACAGATAGAGGATATGACCAAAGGTTAAAAATACATTCCTCGATGATTACGGTAAGGAGAACCACCTCCGAGTATAGAATTTATAGGATGTTTCAACCCCTGTGTTTCTATAATGGGCTTTGCTTTGCTTTTCTTTTGAGACAGGGTCTCACTCTGTTGCCAGGCTACAGTGCAGTGAGGCTATCTTGGCTCAATGCAGCCTCGACCTCCTGGGCTCAAGCGACCCTCCCACCTCCACTCTGGAGTAGCTGGGACTACAGGCGCGTGCCACCTCACCCAGCTAAGTTTTCCATTTTTTTGTATGGGTGTGTGACTTTTAAATGTGCCTCTTTCTCAACAGACTTCTTTTCGTCCTTATAAGAGATATAATCCTCAATATACTTAGTATTTAATGAACAATAAAAGTATTGTTTCTCAAATCTGTAGACAATTAGGGAGGAGGTCTAATTCACTATCAAAGCTTCAGGAAGGTATTAAATGTTTTCTTTGGCTTTCCCCTATGGCTTAATGTACTTACAGAGTCAATGACTGATTTTTCCATGCCAACTTTGAAATCCTAACCTGGTTTCCCTTAGTTACCTTAGATTTATCTGGATGGCATTCTGTTTATCCTACTGTTCCTCTCAACCCCAAGTTTGTGAGTTAGTGACTGTAGATTGGTCAACATTTGCTTAAAGAGTAATGAACACAGCAAATCTGCTATTATTCTAATAGAAAATCATTAATTAGGCTGGGTGCCATGGCTCATGCCTGTAATCCCAGCACTTTGAGAGGCCACGCTGGGAGGACAGCTTGAGCCTAGGCATTTGAGACCAGCTTGGGCAACATATCGAGATCTTGTCTCTACAAAAAAAAAATCAAAAAATTAGTCAGGTATGGTGATGCATGCCTGTGGTCCCAGCTACTCTGAAGACTAAGGTGAGAAGATCGCTTGAGCCCGGGAGGTGAGGCTGCAGTGAGCCGTGATTGTGCCACTGCACTCCAGCCTGGGCAACAGAGTGAGACCCTTTCTCAAAAAAAGAAAAGAAAATCATGAATTCATTCTGCATTATCGACACTTCTGCTCTGCTCTGATTTCACATATAAGAGTGAACAGATTGCACTTGAGGCCTCGTGGGTACTTGCTGTAATAATGGGTGTAACCCAAAATAGTAAAGAGGAGGAATGCACTTCCTATATCTTGCAGTCTGTTTCACTGTAGTGGTTAGTCTGTCTGTGTGTGTTTACCTGGGAGGTAGGATATGGGGCCAGTGGGCTGGTTGAAGACAGCTGTCTGCTGAAACCGTGATGTGCTTCGGGGCCAGGAGAAAGCGTGAGAGGACTGACGGGAGGCTGCCGACGCCGAGACGGGCCACTCAGGTTTGTGGTGGAAAGAGATGGGTTGCTAAGGGAAAATAGACGGAGTGAAGGGTGAAGAGCAGATGCATTGGGAACAGATGTCTGTGGGTGGTTATTTAGGGAAGAGGAAAGCACAGTCTTATTGAGCGTGGCTTGGATGGAGGGGTTACTCCGAGAACTCTGGAGACCTGGAAGACAACAAATTCACAAGTTACTTATAATTTCAGACCAAATCTTTTGTTTTCCAAAAATGAAAGAAAACTGTCTACTGTCACATGCGACAATGATTCTGTAGGTAAAGGAACTCCTGGACAGCTCTCCTACAGGGACAGCATCCGATGCACCAATGGCAAGGAAAAGATGCCCCTGCACTAACAGAGACGGGGCCACCAAGATGAGAACAATGTTTTCCCATGAGGGGGGAGATCGTCTCAACAACTCCTAGGTGCACAAAACTAGGTAAACCGGGGGGTAGCAGAGGCAAATGTTCCAGGTGCTTGGCCCAGACCCAGGGAAAGGACCTGGGTTTACAGGCTAGGCCCGGCTAGGCTGGGCGCAGTGGCTCACACCTGTAATCCCAGCATTTTGGGAGGCCGAGGCAGGTGGATCACAGGTCAGGAGATCGAGACCATCCTGGCTAACACGGTGAAACCCCGTCTCTACTAAAAATACAAAAAATTAACCGGGCGTGGCAGCATGCGCCTGTAGACCCAGCTACTAGGGAGGCTGAGGCAGGAGAATCACTTGAATCTGGGAGGCGGAGGTTGCAGTGAGCCAAGATCACGCCACTGCACTGTAGCCTGGGAGACAGAGCAAGACTCCATTTCAAAAAAAAAAATTATCGTATTTTTAGAATTCATGTAAATGACTTCACTTGCTATATTTTTAAAGGTAGGAACATATCTATGACAAAGCGCTACATAAATCCACCACTCATCAGTCCACAAAGAGGTCAGTGGTCCAGCTGGCTCAGATAATAATTAGAGCTACAGCTGTGAACTGAGCTTTTACAAATTCATTCAGAAAGAAAGCTCAAGCATCTCTTAAACATCTTTGAAATCTGTGTGTACCAAGTATTTTAAGTTCAATAGAAAATATAGAAACTGTCATGCCTGTAATCCCAGCACTTTGGGAGGCCGAGGCGGGCGGATCACGAGGTCAGGAGATCGAGACCATCCTGGCTAACACAGTGAAACCCCGTC